AGTCAGGTTGGTGTTCCAAAACTGAGGTCTTTTCTTGTTGTTTAGTAACACCAAACTGGCTGCCAGAAAGATCTCTGGCCAGGTAATTGTTCGAAGCTCGCTGCACTCGATCCATATACCACGAACTCGAGCCGAATGTACATGTATTTCCGTCTGGACCTCCCACTCAGTAAATAAGCTTACATCAAAATATGAATTTGTGTAAAGTACATCCTTTGTTCATGAACATTCGGGTTAAATCTTACCCTCTTCCCATTGACTTCATCTGTGCTATCAACTCAGGAATGAGAGTTTTGTGTCCTGCAGCCTGGGAACTAATTCCCACTACGTGTACATCCGCGTCCACCGCCTGCTGCGCAACTTCCATGGGAGTCTGGGACAGAAAAAAATGACCTGTTTTTCTTTTCTCAAAAATAGCTCGATTCTGTCACCAACAAAATTTGAATTTCTAGGTTCAAAGTGACCACTTGTTATTTAATTGACGGCACTCTCCTTGAAAGGTAAGCACTCAATCGAACTTTTGATCGATCCAAATATAAATTCTCTTATCCGATTGCTATGTATTTTTTTTAATGTTTGTTCTGAGAATTTCGCAATACATCAAGGCAATATCTCCAAGCTAATGATTTTCTTTGCTTCGTAATGTTCTGATAATGTAAGGGGAATTTAGACGTTAATAACCAACCTGGAAAAGTGGTCCAATGTCAACATCAAATCCAAGATCAGCGAATCCTGTNTTGCTAGGTGTAGCTAAGCGCACTGTCCACTATAAAAAAAACAACAACATTTGAAAATTTGAAACCTCGCATTGCGTGGAAAAATGCTTTTCTGAATCACGACACTACTGTTGTTGTCGTTGTGGTTGCTTTTCTTTCCACCGCTGTCCAAAATTAAGTTAAACCTTAACTAACAAAATCAAACCCTCATAAACCTTACCTCGTCCTGGTTTCGGGTCTCTCTAATTCGCTTTATTTTCTCCAACTGAAACAGAATAAGATACCACTTAGAAGATCAGCAAAGTCTTAAAACAATCGAGTTATGTTTGTAAATGGTACCTGTTGTTCTCGCACTCTGGTGTTATCGACAACAAGCACATCAATGGCTTCTTCTTTGGCCAACCGATACTTGTTAACGCCAACGATTGTTTCTAAGAAAGCAACGAAAACAGAATTGTGGCTCTGAATTAAAAGAAGCGAAACCGTCCGTACGAGTTCACATAATAGTCAAATTACGGTAATTCAGGGGAGTGGTGACCGTCTATCAGCACTCCTTTTCGGCGGGGGTAAGGAGGGTACACTTGTAAACTTTCTAACGTCCCCTACCCCCGAGGGTCCACACGTTCACTCTTGTTTTAACCTCTCTACAACGACCACCTATCCACAACGGCAACAGCCAATAAAACTCGTCCCAGCTGCCACAATCACTTCTCCATAACGGCCAGTTAATCAACGACTGACGATTGGTGTATACAGAAGTTCACTTTTTTCTTGTAAAAGGTCACAAAATTGATCCGTACCGGGCGTCGTTGGCCTTTGTTTCTGTTTGGTTGATAAATTGTGATTGTGTGACGTATTTACATGCTACAATAAGCAATTTTTAAAAAATCAGAATGTTGCATTCCAGGAAAAAGTGTCATATTACACTCCTATATTTTTCTAACCTGACCCTGAGTCGATCCTGGCCTGTCGTCTGGCTGCGCATTCCTCGATTCTCAGTTTTGGCATTCCCGCTGCGACTGCTTTGGCCATGCCTCCCAACTCTTCCACCTAAAATAAAAAAGTTATTTCTCGGGTCTGAATTTCGTAGCGCAAGAAGTAACAACCAATTAATGACCCCCTAAAGCAGGCCTTGGCCCATTGTGCACCTAAAAATGGCATATTATGCTGTTAGCACTGCTCCAACTTTTGTCCGCGAAATATGCCCAAAATTATGCCAAGGTTCACAAATTTATGATCCCAGTTTTCATAACTATGCGAAAAAAATGGCAACGTTTCTGTGATTATATATTATAATTCAGAACAACAACAACAACAACAACAACAACAACAACAACAACAGCAACAACAAAAACCTTTATTAACTTGTCTGGGGTATTTAGCATTGCTGCTAATTGGGGACACACACAAAGTAGATAATTACAACGTGGAGCACGTTTTTCGAATATGACATTCTTTTAAATTTCATTGGTTCGGTTTTATTGGTCATTAGGCGGGGTCAAAATTCCTAAACCTCTCTGACTAACTAAACAAAACGAATTTGCAATTATTCTAATTCCGTGTTATGACCGTGTAGCAAACTGAAGGCAAGCGGGACTAAACGTTTTAGCTTCTACGCTTAAAAAAGTGGGAACATTCTAAAGTTAAAACCCGATTTCTCGATTCCTCGTTTGTTCAAACCTCCCGATAACTCGAACCAAAAGTCGTTTCCCTTCTTTCAGTCGAACACTGTAATTTTCTCCCGATTTCTCGAACTATCTGATTTTTCAAACCAGTTTTCATTTCCCTTGGAGGTTTGAAAAATCGGACTTCCACTGTATAAATGTGCTTGCGCAGTGTTCATACCTCTTTGATTACACTCAAACCCTTTTCGTATATCTCGTCTGTGAGACATTCCATCATGTATGAACCGCCCCACGGGTCTGCAACCTAAGGAAATAGACCTCATATCATTAAGCCGGTACTTTATTTTGCCACACCTTGTCTACAGCGAAAGGAAAGGACATTCTCCAAACTACCATTAGAAGAACTGTTTGACAACCAGTAAGGAGAATTGAGGTTTTTAGCTTGAGTATCTTTTATCACTTACATTAGGAATGCCAGACTCCTCTTGCAGTATGATCTGCGTGTTACGAGCAATCCTTGCGCTGAAAGGAGTCGGTAGTGCCAGGGCCTCGTCAAACGAGTTGGTGTGCAGGGACTGGGTTCCACCAAACACCGCTGCCATGGCTTCGACTGTCGTACGCACGATATTGTTGTATGGGTCCTGAAGTGAAAGTTCAACGCGATGAAATGTTAATAGCTGTAGTTATGGAAAGAATTTTTTTTGACGAGATTTCCAGTTAATTGGATATTTTAAATTGGGTCAGTAACCTATAAACGCAGACGGATTTCGATCGCAAACCAAACATGGGTGGAAATCCTTTAGGAGTCTTTGTGGAAATACAAGATTACCTTACGTCGTTTATTAGGACATTCCTTTCTTTTTAGTGGGTTTTTGTAGCTCAAAAAGGTCTGTTGGTTGATCAATTGATTTTGAACAAAATAAATTTATTTGTTCGACGATAACACCAACTCATTTCCCCGAAAACGCTAAGCGACCTTTGTTTTACAAATCTTGACAATAATTTGCTAAGGAGAGCTGCGCTTTGATCAATCAGACGAGAGAACTGCCTCTGATGGTGAGATTGCCAGTGGAACGATGACAAATTTCAAGTCCATCAATGCGCATTTACTGGTATGGTAAATCTTTTCCATTAATTGGCCAGAACAAAAAACAAACTGTATGGCTTTGTGATTGCATGAGTGCTTGATGCGTTCAATTCATTACCTGTTCAGTGAGAGACCAGCCGGAAGTCTGCGAATGTGTCCTCAACATACACGACTTCATGTTCTTTGGCTTGAAGTTCTTCTCAATCTGATTGGCCCACAGTCTGCGCGCAGCTCTCATCTTTGCTATCTCCATGTAGAAATTCATTCCAATCCCCCAGAAGAACGACAGGCGAGGTGCAAAGCTGTCGATATTGAGTCCGGCTTTCAGACCTGAAGTGAAAGAGGGAAATATAATAACATGTCTACAAGGTGGTGACCGAACAGTTCACTACGTTGAACTCCGGATCCAACAGTCCTGAGGGCTCGTTCCTCGAAGGCCCCGAAAGGTTTTCGCACCCGGAAATCCCTAGCAAAATCTCAAACTTTGTGATTACAGAGCCGTTTTATTCACATATTCTTAAATATGAACAGAGGTTCCCTTTATACAAGACGTTTCAGGCGTATACATCACTCTGCAGATAAAGATTAACTAAAAATACCTTTGCAGGCCCGAAAAGATTCCGAGGCTTTCGAGAAACGGGCCCCTGGTTTGAGGATCTGGTCAAGGC